GTCTTGGGCTCAGGTCATCATGATCCCGCAGTCTGGGATTGGGCTGCATCTGGGGCTCCCTGCTCAGCGGGGAGTCTGCTTCTCCCTTTCCCTCTATCCCCTCCCCTCTCCACCCCCGCTCGTGCTCGCTCACTCTCTCGGTCTCTCAAATAAATAAATAAAATCTTAAAACAAAAACAAAAACCTATAAGTACTACCAAAGCCGCTGCAGCCATTGAGAATTTATTAAAGAAAAGATCGTATCAGAGTTGATGGCATTAGAGCGCATTCACAGAGGATTCTTGACAAAGTTGGGGAGATTCTGTTTAGGAAATACAATTTGAACTTTTACATGATACACACTGTTGCACAAGTTATGCCTTCTAGTTAGTTCATCTCCTAAATTATTAGGGGAGAACGAGATAGTCCTATGTCAACCTGTCACCGAGGGACACACTGAATGTGCACCTCTAGTGTGACATGCATACCTACTCGTCCAAGTTGTAATATCACACAGGAGATGCCATCAGCAAAGCAATAACAACAACAAAACTCTTGGTAAAAGTTATTCCGATTAGGAGCCTTTGAGATCAAAGTTTCAAAATTAGATGTTTAGTGTGAAATTTGCAAATAATCATTTTGGAAGGATTACCAGTTAAACTGGTTTAAAAGACAGGATGAAAAGACTAGGCCAGGAACTTAGAAAGAGCAGTAACAACACAAGCGATTGGAAATATACTGTGCTAACACCGGAGGACGTCCTACAACTTAACTATAAAAACCTTTGGGACCACTTTATCATGTCCAGTTATGCCACCCTGCTCCTGTGTAACAAGCTAGAGACTTGATTTTCCTTACTGGCTTTAAGTTTCCTAGTTGCTCATTTACCTGGATGCTTACACATTTGTATGTCTTCTAATAGCTGAATCCATTTATTCTGCTAGGTCTTCAGAAGCACCTTAAATGTGTTCACTCAGGGCCCTTGATTCCTTGACACTTTGCGGTGGGATCTGATCTCGGATGTGTCTGTGACAAATCTGATTGGCTGGGCTATAAATACACACAAACGTGTAGAATAGTGAAATGAACACTCAATTATCTAAAACAACACTGCCTAATTTGATAAGAAGACGAGTAAAGTTTTCAGAGGTAAAAGAATTTTGCTAGATTTTTGGAAAATAGATAGTAAATATGAAGGTTATATATATCTCCCTTCCTCCTGCACCTGAGAAATGAATGGATATTTGAAAAAGAAAAATTCAATAAGCAGTAGTCTTTTTGTGTTGTGCATAGGCTGAAAGCATACTTTTTTGATAGTATAAATAACTTGATGTCACAATAAAATATTCTGTAGGCTTCCTTTATTTTTTATTTTTTTTACGTTTTTTTCAGGTATGTGGTTGGTTTTTTTTAATTTTATTTATTTATTTGAGAGAGAGTGTGAGTGAGTGAGAGTGAGTATGAGCAGAGGGAAGGCAAAGGGAGAAGCAGACTCCCCGCTGAGCAGGGAGCCCGATGCGGGGCTCCATCACAGGACCCTGGGATCATGACCTGAGCAGAAGGCAGACGCTTAACTGACTGAGCCACCCAGGCGTCCCTGTAGGCTTCCTTTAAACAACTATCTAAATTTTAGTTGACTGATTATTACTGAAGAAAATAGGTAACTTGTCAATTAACTGTTATTTGAATCATTTCTTAAATATAGTATTCTAATGGCAGCTTGCTGTGTTGACATTTTTCCTTCAGCTTTTTTTTCCCCCTTTGGTATCCCTTTCACAAACCATAAGGAAAAAAAAAAAATCCTCTCCAGCCTAAAATAATCTACCTTTTCAAATGTTCACCGTTTCTGAAGTAACTCAAATCTATGGTGTGTAAGCGATCTAATTCTCAATTTGAGTATATTCTTAGACTGTTGTCAATTGAGACTGCAAGTACAAAAGCAAAATTGAGAACAATAAAGTGTTTAAAATAGTGTTTAATTTCTAAACTAACACACATTATTACAACTTTTGCTCTCTCTTCCTGTTACCATTCTATTTCCAACATACTTAATATATACACATATTCCTAATTATCATGTACTCCCATTTCACTTAGCAACACATCTACTAGGATACAGAACTCTGTGTTTTCACGCAGTAAATTTAATCTAAGTTAGTTATTTAAACTTTGAAATCACTGATATGCAACTAAAATGCCATCAGCTAATCTTCTTCCTGTTACCTTTAGCAATATGCCAATTGGTTTCTTTTACGTAAATACTGTCTTGAACTGTTTGACTTCGGTTTTTAATGAAACGAATTCTCCTCTTCTAAGTAGAAGTCTGCTATGAACGTAAGTCACCTGGGAGCCTGGCCAAAGTCTCCAACAGCACAGCTGAAGGGTACAGCCATTTCACAGGGTCCTCTCACAGAGTATTTGGTTTGCTTTCCTAACTTGCTAAAAATAGTAGATTACACAGGCTACCTCCATCTCATGGCTCAAGAACTCACAAAAGGCTGGACTATGGATTGTAGGAATACATACAACACCCTTAATTAAAGAAGTCAGGATATTACAAGTTTTCCAAATTCCTTCCGTTTACTCTCTGAAACAATACAAATGATCTAGTGGTTATTGGCATGGAAACCTCATAATGCTCCCAAATTTCAGAACTTCAAGCATGAGTCACAGAGTTACCTTAACTGTTAAAATATGTTTTTGATCTATTTTAGTCACAACATTGAATACAGGAAGACAACTACCTAAAAGGCAGTAATCTAAATACTGTATTAAAAATCACACAATGTGTTAGTTATAAATATGTATCTAAGAAAGGTGGTTTTTGAAACATTAATACTTAATTACATATTCCAAATATGTTACATGAATTCTTAATTTGGTTATTTCACTAACATTTTAGGAGCTATTGTTCTGGGTATGAACCTCCACCACAAACAAATTTTGTGTTTGTTTTTTTTTTCCTCTCATTCAAATCAAAATATTTACCAAGTTTCAGACACCATAAATTAAATTTCAGTTTCTCTTCAAAAGACAAAGAATAAGGACAAGTTTGCATTGATTAGCTGCGATATTGAGTTCATTTCATAAGTAAATTTAAATCTTGAAATTACTCGTTATTAAAAAAAAGTCCCTGATGTGGCAGTTCAATCTTGTTACCCACACAGCATGTCATTAAGCAATGCTCCTGTTTTACTCAAAGGGAGACTGTTCTGTGTCCACAAGTGAACAGCCACTAAAAAAATATTTTGAGATGGAAAAATAGCAACTGAATTTTAACATTTCACAATGTTTCCAAATGCTGTGGAGGCAGGTCTTCTGTGAAACCACTCAATGTCACAGCCAGTTTAATGTCCTTCATTTTGTAGCTACGAGTGTGCCATCAACTGTCTGTAGGATTAAAAATTGGATTTACTAGTAATTGGGTCAAAACAGGGTTACTTATGGACACAGCTGGCTACTGAGAAGTGTAATTAGCCATTTGCCCCCTCACTTTATGGGTCCCCATCTCTAATCACACCTAAATTCAGTCAGCAGGAATTTAGGAATACACATTCACAAAGGTACAACCACTGTGCCCTTCCTTCACCGAAGCCTTTCAAAAGAAAGTAAGAGAAAGGCCCAATGGTAATTTATAACTTTTGGCTTATTGATCTTTATGACTATGACATTAAGAATAATCTAACACTATAAGATATCTTTGTGTTGTGAACACCTCCCTTGATATGCTACTCTGAAGATAATATCCCGAGTCTTTGGTGAAAACTTTAGCAAAGTAGGCAGCCCAAGCTGAGCCAAGAAGCAATTAACTGAAATAGTCAACTCATACATTAACTCATAACACATCAGGGTGAGTTATGAGTTAACATATGAGTTGACTGTATTAGTTAATTGCACCCCATGTTATTAAATAAAGCATTTTTATTATAACAGCACTTTTTTTTTTCTTTTGCAAAAGACAAGATGGATCTATGAAACTTTTTACTTCTCTATAGATGTAGAAATGATAGTGACCCCCCCCCCACGGGTTCAAAGAATGAATTCCACTGGCACATTAGTATTCAAAAGCAATTCAATTAAACCGAGTAAGTGAAAGTACCCAGGAATCTTCACATTTCTAGTCTTGACCTTGCATGTCAGAATAAAGACACATATGCTATCTTTTTAAAAGGTGCATTTTCAAACTTGATACCTGAAACACGAACCAATGACATTTTTGAATGTCAAGATATACTAAAACGGATCTTTCAGTATTATGGTGCCCAACAAAAGCTAACTTTTAACACTCCTAGCTGAGACTGTTACAAATTTCAAAATAATCAGGATCCAACAAAATAAACTAAGTTATTTCACATTAAAAGTTTAGGAGCTTAAAAAAAAAAAAAATCCAAGTAACAGTATTTAAAAGTTTCTACTTATTTATAAAACTCAACATTCAACAAAGTTTATTCCTCAGATAGGGTACTGGAGCAACAAGAGAACCTTACTTCTCTATCTTCCACAAAATGCCTTGTTTCTGGCCTTAAAAGAATACGCTTATACAATAAAAAGGAAACCCACAATGTCAAAATGTTAATATAAAAAGTCTAGTCAAGTTTAGCTGCCTAGAAATCTGTTCTTTTACAAGCAACGGTACAGCACCTTTACAAACAAGGAAAAACGTTATCATCTTCATTCAGCTATTGCCATGGCCTTGTATAATCTGTGTATATGCTAACACACCTATGTATGTACATTTACTATTCCTATAGACATTGACATTGCTATTACTAAGTAAAAAGTATGCTGATACTCTGTTTTAGAAAAAAAAACTGATGAAGTTATTCATAACAAAGTTTGGCCAGACATGGTTCTACTGCTTCTCAATAAAAGTCCCCCACCCCCAAAAACATCAGTAAGAACACATCGTATAACTAAACTATTAACAAAGCAATCCATAATTCCAAACTCAATGGACTAAATGTCCATATCCCCTCTATTCAATTATTGCATATCCTTAAAATAATATAATATTTACTCACTTTCAATGAATCAAAGCAGGCGATTACTCGTCCATTTTCAACTTGGCAGCTTTTCGAAGGATGTGCAAATTTACATTCCGTGTCTGGCCGTGAGCAAGTCCCCCTTTGGAACTCTCTACATACTTCCAGTGTTAGCCATTTTGTGTCCCGAATTGGTGTGACACTAACAGCCATGTTTAGATTTTACAGGTAGTTAAATTTTTCAGTGAAACCAACAAAACCAACCCCCCACACACACAAAAAAAAAACAGCAAAAAAAAAAAAAAGCTGAACTGATAAAACTGTAAAATGATGATGAAAGTGTCCCCTCCAAAATACTTTTTTCCCCACTCCCTGCTTTAAAAGTACATGGAAAATTGTGTTGTCAATATCAAGGAAAAGATCTCCCACTAGAAATTCACAGCATGAAACTGTTAATTCAAAGAGGTTTTGGTTTTTAGAGAAATACTAGAATCGTAAGTAGATGAATGTTTAAAAGTAGGGCCTCGAATCAGCCTTGTGCTCTCAGTAACCCCTTCCCAGTGCCAATTTGGAGCCCAAAATGCAAGCATGAAAACGTGGCAGACCCTTTGACACCGAATTTCCAAGCTGCTTTCAGCAAAGTTGTCTGAAAGGGAATCTCCTCACAGCTGAATTTGCAATGGAGTTTGGTGGTGCAATCGGTATTGATTAGTTTGGCATAGACAGATGCAGCAGTTTAGAGCAAATCGAGAAAATGATTTTTTTTTTCCTCCTTGATTTCCTGGCAGAAGAGATCTTACTTTTTCAGCAAACTTTTCTTTTAAAACTAAAGCAGCCTAGGGCAATGCCAGATACTTAGAGCTTTTGTCTTGATTATAAGTAGAAATGGGGGTGTCTGGGCTAGAGGTGGAGGGTGGATGTGCTGTCGTCACAGTCTAGCTGGCAGCAAGCAAGGCAAAAGCAGAGACTGCTCTAGAAGCGGGTCCAAGCAGCAGAGACGTCAGGAAAGGCACTTCTTAGTACCAACCTGTAGAAAAAAGAGATAGGTTAAGATTTACTAAGTAGCACTTCACTGATGTCCTACAGTATCACAACCTTGCCATGTGCTACCAGACTAAGTAATATTCAAGTCAGCTTCTCTCCTTCTCTGTCTCTGTCTCTCGCTTGTTCTCTCTCTCTCTCTCTCTCTCTCTCTCTCACACACACACACACACAAATACTTACAGTGAGGCATATTGCAGCCAGCCATCGTAGATTTATTAAAAAAAGGGGCCGTTTCCCCTTGTGAAGCAATGCATGATAGAGAGATAACCAATCACAGATAGTGTTGCAGCAATATTCTGGGCAGAAAGCCAATAGTGTGGGTTGTCTTATGAAAGGTCGCGCCTGTCAGACGTTCATTACTATGCTATAAGCACAGAAAATGTCCATCAGATGTGACTTATTCCACTGCAAGAGGACGAGCATGTGGGTTTTGAATTTACCCAACATGCAGTTAGTGGACTAAACCATGTTAGTTTCAAAACAGCTTCTAAGACAAGTCCAAGCACTTGAAGATCATTACCGGGGAATAAAAAGCAAGGTTTAAAAATTGCAGCTGACTTCCAAGCTGCTTTTCCCTCTGGCTCTGTGCAGGGACAGGCACTGAACAGCCTGCTCCCTCTGTCCTGACACGTGAATAAAAAAGGAAAGGGGTGTTTACAAATGGTACATTCTCCTGACCTATCCAATTCACTTCCTTCTAAAGCCCAAGTCCTGCCCCTCCACTGAAAGCAGCTCTCATACTGTAAAACTATTCCATTCAGCCGGCAGACACTTTGTCAATATATCACAGGCAGGCGAGATGCAAACAAAAGCATCCTTTATTTGAACATTTTTTAAGCAGAAGCTGAGGTCATGTGGGGAAAATAAGGAGTGCAGTGTTGTCAGTGTGTCTGGCAAATCTGAAGTCAACCTCAAGGGGGAAAGTGATTCCATCGCAGAAACATTAAATATTAAGTGAGCGATTGGATTTGGGCAGCGTGATGCACTTCGGAGGTACGAACGAAGCCGGGGGTTGGGGGCTGGGGGATCCCCTGCTGCCTGATGATCTATTAACTCCGCACTACTAAGAGACTGCTCCTTACAGGAGGGCATGTTTGCCTCTCACAACTAACTGTCTCTTTCAATCGGGATGGAAAAACTTTCAGAAAATGCTCAGTAGTACAGAAACAAAAGTACACAGTTGTGTTTTTTTTCTTTTGAATGTTACCAACAAAGGAAACAAGGCTTTAATAACTCCAAAAGTTTTGCACTCCAAAAAAGCATTGGCACAATATAATAGTGTTTGATCACACTTACTTCTTTGAAGGCCAAATATGGCCAATTGGCATATGGTACATGTGGAACCATAATTTGGAAACTGGAATACAGGATATGAATATGTAAAAATAGAACCCAAACAGATCTATCTATAGATATCTAGCAGAATTCTTAAAAATTTCTTTAAGGATTAATACTGTCATTCTTTTTTTTTTTTTAAAGATTTTATTTATTTATTTGAGAGAGAGAAAGCACTAGAGAGAGAATGAGTAGGGGACAGATGGAGAGGGAGAAGCAGGCTCCCCACTGAGCAGGGAGCCTGACACAGGGCTCCATCCCAGGACCCTGGGATCATGACCTGAGCTGAAGGCAGACACTTAAACCGACTGAGCCACCTAGGTGCCCGAATACTGTCATTCTTCATACTAATTAAAAACAAAACAAACAAACAAAAAATTAGCAGATACCAGGTTTGGGAAACACTGTAGTAAGACTACAACTTTTGAGAAAGGTTAAAAAGAACCAACTCAAGAAATATTTTTGTTTTCAAAACACTTTCTGGTCCTAACTCCTGATTATATAAAAACAAAGGCAAGTCGGTCATAAACTCTAAGATTCATCCACCTTCCTGACTGCTCTACACTCAGGATTTCTCAACTACTCCAGGCCTTTAGCATGTACCCATCTGTGTCCAACAACCTCTTCTGTCCTTCTTGCTAAAATCTTCAAGTGCCTCACCTGCAACAATTCACTTCTTTTGGAAGCCAGCTGAGATGTCACTTCCTCCAAGAAACTCCCAAGATGTGACTTTCTCCATCTCCATCCACCCATTTATTAATGAGGTCTTTTCTGAATTATCTTTGCACCCCAGTATGGTCTGTTACTCACTTCTACGTATGACCCACTAAATTATATGTCAGAAACAATGTCACTCGTCCCAGAACCCCAGTGCTCAGCACAGTGATGGAAAATATACGGAGCTCCATAACTTTGGTAAATTAAATGATCGATTACTACATCTGGACTGGAATTACCTCTAGGGCACAGAAATACACAAACACACATACGAACACACTCATATAAACACACATATAACACCACACATGAACCACACAAACACACACTCAAACACATACACACACACATACACCCATCACTTCCTCTATAAATTACTATATTCCTGGGTCACGCAGGCCCTCCCGCAGCCTAGGAATCCTCCTCCAGCCCTGGACAGCTCCCTCGGACATTCCCCATAGCAGCTTTTCTAAAACTTCAACACTTTCCAGCCCCTCCTCCCTCCTCTATATTCCTCCCACTCACAGCCTATGATGATCTTCCAGGTCACAGATATCTCATAGTCAGAAGAGTAGCCCTCAGACATGAACTCTCTCTCACCTTCCCGCCACCCATCTTTAAGCTATCTTTCCGTATCTTTCATTTTCGTCTTCCAGTTTTGCCTTCGCTTGCACACCGTTAAGCGTCTACCTTGACTCGCTCCTTCTCAGAACATCCGTTCCCTTTACACTCCCTCTATCTGTGAATGCCCTGCCTTGTCTACACGCTTTCTCTTAGTCCTCAACCTGCTGAGGTAGCTCTGGACTAGAGGGGGCGGCTTGGAAGGAGGAAGGGGGCCCTGCCTAGCTATGCGTCCTTCCTCTCCCTAATCCTCTTTATCGGCTGTTCCCAGACAAATGTCTGAAGAGTCATCTACACGTGCTGTTTTTCTGCTTCTTCAGTTTTGAATCTATACCAGTGTGACCTCCACACTCATTACTTTACTGGTCAGCGACGGCCATCAATGCTCTAATTCAAGCCAAATTCAAAGACTACGCTAGTCCTTATCTTTACTTTCCGTTTCTCCCATTGCTGCCCCTCTCGTATCCTCCACCATAAACAGGAGCTGCCAGGAGCTGGGAAGGTTCTTGGCATATGCCATACCGGTGTAGGCTCTTGGGACTTGTTACATGCTAACCCTTTGTTTGGAGTGACACACTTCCTCACCCCTTCAGCTTGGTAAATCCCTTCTTGTTTTAAGTTGCTATTCAGATATCACCTTCTCTCCACGGCTGGGCCAACTATGCTAAACATTATTCCATCTCAGAATACCCTCAGTATTTTATAGCTCTTTTGACCCAAAGGTTATAAATCCCCTGACAACAGGGTCTATCACCATTTTTTTATCCCAGTTCCTGGAACATAACAGACGTTTTCAAAATATTTGATAAATGAATAAATTTTATTCAAACTCACAGGAATAAACATGTACATAAGGTTGTATCCCCAAAAGGAAGGAAACAGCTCATCATGATCTATGGGGGCCACACAGCATGAGAAAGGATAATGGTACCATTAGAAATATCTTCATTGGTCGGTGGTTATGTAAATACAACCACAAAATCAATATCTAGAGTTGATTATTCTTCCTTTCTGCCATGTTCCAGGCTTAATCTCACTCAGGCACAAAATATACTTTAATTAGTAAAATGTTTGCAAATGGATACTTTGGACATTTTTATTTTCCATAGCAGAGATACTCTATTCACTTCACAAAGGGTTATTGAAAAAATTATAGATACACACGTATTTGTAAGTTTAATACTGTTTAACTGTAAAACATATACGCAAAGATGAGAATCAAAATATTTCCTACTAACTAGGCATAGAGACTGAGCAGTCAAAATGGACACCAACCTTTACGGATTGTTAGTGTAGCTGTACCCAGCAATGTGCATGCCAGTTCTTGATATGGGGCACTGGGGTAATCAACAGAGATTATATCTAAATTGCTGAGATCAGATTATTGTCTTATAATCCTTCTCTTTTTTCAAACAGAAGAACTTCAGAGAAGACTGGAAATCTTCATAATTGAGTGTTTTGGTAAATTACGATTGAATAAGATTTGGATCAATACTGAATTCCCAAAACATTATTTCAGCTGGTAATGGATTTTTATTCTATAGATAGAGAAGGTGCTTAAAAGTGTGTGGGTAATTTCCACATTGTGAGAATTCTTGCAAACATATTTGCCTCCAAAGTATGTGTTGTTTGTAAATAATTATGAAGGAAATATTTCTACTTGAAAGATATTTACTAACAGCTAAATTGCTTCTGAAGTAAATTTCTAACCTATACTTCAACATATTATAATAAACTTCCCTGCACCAAAAAAGAAAAAAAAAAAAGGATTGGACCATTTAATAGTTTTACAGTAAGACTCAAACTTTTTTAAAACTTATATAACAACAAGCCCTCTTGTGCCTATTGATCAAATTCCAAACACTAACCAAAGAGCTCCTCACATTATGTGATATGTTCTACAAATAAGCATGTTCTGCCGTAACAACCAAGATCCAATTCTTCCTTGAGTGATATCAGAAATAACATATATTTTCTACTTTAAGATACAAAGGGGGAAATAGAAAGGAAAAGAAGAAAATGTAAAGCTGGAGGGAAGGAAGCTAAGAAAAGAATCAAGGATAAAGTAAAAGAGTGTGGCAAGGGCACCTGGGTGGCTCAATCGGTTGGGCGTCTGCCTTCGGCTCAGGTCATGATCCCAGGGTCCTGGGATCGAGTCCCACATCAGGCTCCCTGCTCTGCGGGGAGCCTGCTTCTCCCTCTCCCACTCCCCCTGCTTGTGTTCCCTCTCTCGCTGTGTCTCTCTCTATCAAATAAATAAATAAAATCTTAAAAAAAAAAAAGAGTGTGGCAAATTACTAATAATGAGTC